ACTAACAAACCAGGATCAACACCATCCCCCACGAGGGCATCATCCGCTACCGCGGCCTCTTCAACCAGGAGCGCCTGCTCATCACCTCGCCAAAGGCCCTGGCCGAGGTGTTGGTTACGCACAACTACGACTTCCACAAGCCCACTGCCGTGCGATCGTCGATCGGCCGTATTCTCGGTATCGGCGTCCTATTGGCCGAGGGCGATAACCACAAAGTCCAGCGTAAGAACCTTATGCCGGCCTTCGCCTTCCGCCACGTCAAGGATCTGTACCCCCTCTTCTGGAGCAAGGCATGCGAGGGCGTCGAGGCCATCACCGACGCCGTCATGGCCGAGGCGGCCAAGACGGCGGCCGACGGAACCGAGGACCCTGAGAAGGCGGCCCTGGGCCCCAAGACGGCCGTGTTGGAAATTGGCAACTGGGCGTCGCGAACAACCCTCGACATCATTGGCATGGCAGGCATGGGACGCGACTTTGGTGCCATTCGCGATCCCTCAAACCCCCTCAACCAGACCTACCAGCACGTCTTCAAGCCGAGTCGTCAGGCGCAGGTCCTCGCCGTTCTGGGCCTCCTCCTCCCTGGACCCCTCGTTCACGCTCTCCCCTTCCGCCGCAACGGCGACATCGCCAAGGCTGCTCAGACCATCCGTGCCACATGCCGCGAGCTCATTCGCGAGAAGAAGGCGAAGCTCGAGCGCAAGCAGCTCACCGACATTGACATTCTGTCGGTCGCCCTCGAGTCTGGCGGCTTCAGCGAGGACAACCTGGTCGACCAGATGATGACCTTCCTCGCGGCCGGCCACGAAACGACCGCTTCCGCCATGATGTGGGCTATTTACTGCCTCTGCCTGCACCCCGAGGTCCAGTCCCGCCTCCGCCTCGAGATCCGCGAGCGGCTCCCCACCCCCGGCACCCCCGGCGACATCACGGCCCTCGACATTGACCACATGCCCTACCTCAACGCCGTCTGCAACGAGGTCCTCCGCTACTACTCCCCCGTCCCCATGACCCTCCGCGAGGCCGCCGTAGACACCGTCATTGATGGCAACAAGGTCCCCAAGGGAACCCGCATCATGCTCTGCCCGTGGGCCACGAACAAGGATACGGCGCTGTGGGGCCCCGATGCCGGCCGCTTTGACCCCGACAGGTGGATGCCCCGCGACGGCGCCGACGCCGAGAGCAAAAAGACGGCCGCCAGCGGTGGCGCCACGAGCAACTACGCCTTCATGACTTTCCTGCACGGCCCGCGCAGCTGCATCGGACAGGGCTTCGCCAAGGCAGAGTTTGCGTGTATCCTGGCCTCGTGGATCGGCCGCTTCGAGTTCAGCCTGAAGAACAAGGAGGAGTACGACGAGAAGAACATTACGATCAAGGGCGGCGTCACCGCGCGCCCGGCCAAGGGCCTGCATGTGTACGTGAAGATTGTCGATGGGTGGTGATAGAGATACCTGGGCGCAACGCTGTAATTAATGATACGATGCATGACACTGGGCTGGGTTCCTGGGACGCGCTGAGCACTTTGAACCCGTACAGCCATGGACTGTCGGGGCTTTGGATAGTATTAGTGTTTGATTCGAGGTAGACGGCGACGTTGTATACAGCCATGTTTAACCTCGTGGGGCTCTGTGTGATGTGTTGTTTAATGCTTGTGGAGGGGACTGGAAGCGATTGCATCGTAGTATCGCTGGCCTCTCAACTGGCGTCTTTTATCTGCCTATCGAAACCTCCCGGCGTTGGACGGTGTTATCGTTGTTCTCTGGTGTGCGTTCGTCTCTTGCAACAACGTTTATGAGGAGGTCTTGATATTAGCCGTTACCAGTTAGTACAGGTCCTTAATACTTACGTCAGATGTTGAGTGGTTCCTTTAATGTAGTCCGCCAAAATACTGGTATGGCACTGATGACATCTCGGAAAAGGGCCCAGACAAGGCCAATAATTTCCTCTCGGGGCCAGGGAATGGATATTGTGCTCGGCGAAATCAACGTACGACAACCATGGCAATGCTGTTAATGCTTTTAACCAGGGCCAACAACCAGATGCCTGTGATATCACAAGAGTAATTATTGTCCTGTATGCAGAAGGACACTGACCAGTCACCCGTCGGATGGTGGGGAGCTCATAGTAATAAAGGCAGACTAAAAAATAAAGGAAATCAATCCAGCGATTCCTCATGGAGAAAGACGGCGCTGCTGCCTAAATGGGACAGCCGAATGGAATATTCGAAGGTAGAATACGAAAGACTGCTTGCCTTACCTTTGACTTCGTCGCCTCGGCCCCACTTCACCATCCCAAATCACCAACTTTCCTCACCAACAAGCACCTTCCACATCGCGATCCAGATGGCGGAAATTCGAGAGGAAAGCAAGCCGAAATTGCATTCATTGCGAGTGGTTGAATTCGTCGCAGATATGGTCAAATGGGCCAAAGATGACGAAAAAGTCAGACTGGCACACATTCGCGCGTCCCCAAGATCAATCCATGGCCTCGAAACACATCAGACACTGCAGACGATGGTGAACAAGTTTCTCAACAAATCAAACAACGATCCGGGCTGGACCCTCACCCATTACGTTCACAGAGATGAGTTTCGGACATACGAAGCTATGCAGAGACGAACGAATTCGCGTTTCAATCTCGACCACTTCCTGCTGCTGAACCCGACCCAGACAGGCGGCCTTCAACAAAACAGGATCGTTCTCATCGAGTGTGACGAAGAATTCGACATTCACTACGCGGTTGGGATGTTCCAACTTGCTCGAACAATCGGCAACACCCTGGAATCGAACAGGTCTGCGAGATTGCGAATCATTTTTATGTCATCAGAATCCGACCCCGATGTGGATCAGCTCGCAAGAAAGTTGTCTATGTTTACACCCTCCAACATCGAGAGGCTCGAATTCACACTATTCGACTACCCGGATCCCCACACCTGCTCGTTCCTCGAAGACTTGACGTGGGAAACGTACCCGGTGGACGACGCAACGTTTTTGCAGCAAGTTGCCGCAAAAATAGCGCCAGATTTCAGTTGTGTTCATGATGCAGAGGCTGAGGACGGGAAGGGTAGCAACACTCGTGATACCGCAGCAAAGACAGTATTTCTCTGGGATGGCATCAGACGAGAGGAGGACTACCAGCCCGAAATGTTGATACAGGCGCTCGACAGCATCGTCGGCAAGGACGCGTTCAACATCGCAACACATGACGATACATGCACTTCAGGCTTGGATACAAGCAAGCCGCTGCTCATAAATATGGGAAAATCCCCACGACTTGCGACTTTACCTGCGGGCACCAAGCACCTCATTCTCTGCAACAAGAAGCGACAGGTTCAATTCGATACCGAAACTACACACAACGTCGTCATTGACGCCAGAGTGAGTCGAGCAGAACTCATGTGCCAGGCAGAGCTCGCCTTCACCAACACCAGAAACGATCCCGCCGGTTTCACAGTACATTCCCAGTTGTCGCTCGATGACATCAAGGCCATTCGCGTACAGAGCCTGTTCGAAGAGACCCATTTGGAGAGCTTCATGGTCTTGGCGTGGCACATAGATCCGGAACTGGACCTAGACCGACTACTCGACCACTTTGTCGACGATGCCCGAATGCTGGAATCGGCGCTGCGGCATCTTGAGCTTCTTGGCCTGTTAGCTATCAACGACGAAGACTACATAGGGTTCAACAGGACGATGTTCGACAAAGTGGCGGCAATCTTGCCAACCGTCGACTTCAGTATCCAAACGGCGGTGTTCTTGTCGCAGGTGACGAACCAAACTCCACACGCCAAGCGGCAGGCCATGGTCGACTTGGCGGCTATCGTGCTTCGTTTCCAGCCCGCAACCGAGCAGTCGCCCTTCATCCGCCTAAATGATAAGATATCCAGTATTGGGTCCTTGGACGGTGTGGAAGGGAGGGCTAAAATGGACGAAATCGCGAAAGCTTGTGTCGATGTCCCGCCGGAGACAGTCTTCGAAGGATCGATATGGCTCGCTCTGGGCATTTATCGTAAGCTGTACCAAATCCTTGGGCCGCATAGCCTTCCTGCTCAGCAGATGCAACTCGGCAGTACCCTGCTGCTCATTGTCGAGGGTCTTCAATACGATTACATCCGTCAACAGGCCAACAGAATCAACGAGACAATGACGCTGACAACACCACCAGCTACCCAATACGACAGCCCGCCAACCAACCTTCAACCGGCCGACATCTCAGTCCTGCAAACATTTATGCTCCGCGCGTGGTGCTCTGAGCTTGTCTATGTCCCCTACACCCAAACCTTTCTCGACGTGGTTTCTAGAACTGTTGAAGACGTCCAGATCGAACGTCGCACGGGATTCTTCCAAGAGATGGCTGGTCAAAGGAATTCGTTTCTGGTCGCTTTCGATTACTTCAAAGAGGTCGGTGGAAAAGGAGAAGCCTCCGTCTGGTCCATCAGACTCGCGGCACAGATTCCGAATGCCATGGTGGCCCAGTTTCTGAAGAATAGAGGGCTTTTGTGTGCCGATTTGGAGACGCGTTTTCCCATTTACAGAACCTGATTCAGAGCACGTATCCAGGTATCAATTGCTGTCAGTATCGATAGCAAAAGGGGCCGCCAAGTCACAGTATTCACGGGCGTAGGGATTGCTGTCAACATCGACAGCTAAGGGATTCTATAGTGCATTATAGATCTTGCTGAATAGAGACTCTGACTGTGAATTCATTTGTTCCCTGACACATTTGTGATTAAGACTTTAGATAGGTTAAAGCGTACCTATGCAATGTGTAGCAAAAGTAGGCGTGTCTAACTGAACTTAATACTTCTTGTAGTTAGGGGCTCAGTCTAAGGTGTACCTATGTAAGATGTAGCAAAAGTAGGCGTGCTTAACTAGACTTAATACTTCTCGTAGTTAGGGGCTCAGTCTGAAGCGTACTTATACAAGGTATAGCAGAAGTAAAACACATGCAATATCACTCACAAATAAAACACACGCAATAATAAAGCCAGGCGATACTTTAATTTAGTCCTCAAATACCCAGTGTTCTATATAAAAGTCTACACACTCTGGCTTACTCATGTCTAAGTGGATAACCACGTTCCCCGCCTTGACCTCCTTATCCCATACACCATTACCCATAGCCACTTCTCGCAAGCAGTGCTCCTTGACGAATGCGCAGGTATGTCTCTGCATGTCCATGATGACAGCCCACGCCCATTCGGGCTTCTTGACGATGTGAACAACACTCCCATTGTTGTCTTGCTGGAGCTCTAATACCATTGGAACTTTCCCTTGGGCGTTGAGTCCCTCGGCGTCGACTGCCTTGGGGTCATGCTGAGCGATGAGACCCCAGCATTCTTGCGTGCGAGTGTTGGATGTGCCCGATGCTGGGCCATCTAGACTTCAAAACGTCCACCAGCGCCCAGATCGCGGCTCGCGCAGGGATAACATGCTCATTCGGATGTACGAGCGAAAGACTCCAATTGCTGTAGTCGACAATCCAATGTATTAACGCCGTGTTGACTCGTGGAGCCTGTGATACCAGCGTAATCAGTCTCCGGATCAGACCGCCAAACCACTGAATTTCAAGGTCTCTGTCTTGTAGGATGTTAATGAGCATCGAAACGACCGCGCCCAGCTCGTGACGAGGAAACTCTGAGAGTCGCTGGTCAGCTGTGGAAGACTCGCTGATGAGCCAGGGCTTGTGATCTTGGGCAGCGGCCCGGGTGCCTTTGCTAATGGCTAACACAAGCGCCTGTTCGCTGTGAACCCCGTCTAGACCAAAGAAAAGTCTCGCCCATTGGGACAGTCTATCGGTATGAGACTTGTTAGCCGCCCGGATACTCTCTTGAACCTGGACTGTGCTGGCCTTCTCTGTGTTGAGGCTCTCCTTCAGCGTTTTCACTTCGGTCTTTCTGCTGGAGAGCTGGTTTCCAACCTCAAATCTCTTTGACTTGGCGTCTCTCGAGTCCGCCTCGAGATCCCTAATGCGCGAACTCTGGAGCGCTGTGTTGCGCTTCTCCTCGTCCAGCTCCCTCTCCGCCCTAGCCTTTGCGTTGTTCGCCGTTTGCTCCTGATAATCCAACCTGGAAACCTCCTGTCCAAGGCGTTGCTGCTTCTCGTTGGCCTTTTTGATGGCGTCTGCGTGCTCTATCTTGAGCCTTCCCATCTCCGCCATGAATGCAGTCTCGTATCGCGTCTTTTCTTGGCAGTAGGACGTCTCCAATTACTGCTTGTCCTGGTAGTGCAATGACTTTTCGGTCTCTATGGCGGCCCAATGTGTGTTTACCATCTCCTCCATCTCTTTCCGTATGCGTTTGAGTTCCTGCTCATGCGCCTCCGCATCCTCATCGCGTGTGGTGTTGCACGCGTCGATCTGCGTCTGCATCTCCGCCACCTTGTTCTCATGTGTAGTGTTGGGGTCTCTGATCTTCTGTTTCATCCCCTCCAACTGGTTCTTGTACTTGGTTTTAGTGCTTTCGATATTGCCCTGCAAGCTTTCCTTCTCGACGTTGTGGGCGGCTTTTGCTGCATCCATACGTTGTTGCATCTCACCCAGCTCTTCACGATGGGTTACATTGGCATTTTCGATGCGTTGCTGCATCGCGTCCACCTTCTTCTTGTGTATGGCAGCAGCCTCATCCATACGCTTCTGTAAATCTTTCGCTGTGCTTTCGTGCGTGGCCGTAGTCTGGTTGACTCTTTGCCGCATTTGCTCAACCTTGCTCTCAGACTCATCAATGCGTTTTTGCATCGCCTGTTTCTCGGCCTGATGCGTGTTCGTGGTCTCATCAATGCGGCCTTGCATCGTCTCTATCTCAGTCTTGTGCGTGGCAGCAGCATCATCGATGCGCTTTTGCATCGCCTGTCTCTCGGTCTTCTGCGTGTTCGCGGCCTCGTCGATGCGTTGTTGCATCTCCCTCCGTTCCTGCTCGTGCTTGACCTTCAACTCTTGCATGTCCCTGTCATAGTCCTGTTTCGCCGTTTCGAGATCGCTGTGAAGCTGTGTTGCTTCTGTCTTGTGTTGATCACGGTCTGTCTCAATCTCAACGACGTAATTCTTGTACATGATATCGCTTGCCCTCAAGGTCATGAGTTGCCTACTGCACAAATTTCTCCCAACGGTAGCTTGGTCTTTGGCTACTTCGAGCGCTTTGATTGTTGCCTCTTCTTCCACCGAGGGACTTCTCTAGTGTCAAAGCCTTTTCCTCAAGCTCCTTGTTCAGATTCTCCTGCATCGCAAGAATTGTTTCCAGTGACTCCAGCATCTTCTTGTCGCGTTTGATATTTTCTTTGGCCTTGTTCGGTTGTGCCGTAGCTTCGTTCTTGTCCTTGAGGGAATTTGGAAGGAGAGCCATCAGTTCATTATCGACCTCTTGTCCGGCAGGTTGATTTCTCTTCGGATCGGGAGCACCGGGCGCAGGGTCGATGTCAAGAATGCGTTCCGGCTCGTTGCGGAGGGCACCGCTATCGGTGATTTCCTGCTCCTGCCTGCCCATCTCTGCGTCCCATTCCATTCTATCGGTTGGAAATGTCAATTCAATGGCCTCCAAGCCTGGAGTGCGCTTTTGTAGATCCCGTCTTACCTTGTTGAGATGCTCAGCTTCGCTGCGCTTTCCTTCCAATCTGGCTGTCAACTCTTGGGTGGTCTCCTTGATAGTCATGAAGAAGTTGACCTGGGAGGGAAGTTGCGCTGGCAGTGGGACTGTGAGAGCACTTGCCTTTTCGGATATGTATGGGACTGTATGTATAGCAAGGCAACCGCGACTGCCTACCTTACTCTTGCATTTAACGCCACAGCCAGGAAGACCTCCTACTGAATGAGACGCCCGTCTAAGAAATTAACTCATGTCACTCTACTGAAACCCATGTCTGCCCTCTTAACATCAATGTCACCACTAACCGACACTTTTTAATCTTAGGGCTCAGTGGAGATAATCAACAAAGTAATAGAGATCGGTCTGCGTTAAGCATGTCAATGACAACAAATGGTAGAAAAGAGTTTGTTTTCGATCAGAGCTATATGTATATGCTGATCCCCTCGAGCTGTGCTGCTCTTATACTCTCAAGCTACCTTTCCAAAGTTCCGGTCTTGGAACTGACCATCCTTCCCTCCCATTCGCCTCCGATTCGGTTCCCGTGCCTCTATCTATAGTTACTTCCGGTCTTGGAAGTTTGGACGTCCTCGGCCTTCGCAAGGCCATTGATTAAGATTATGCCAAGCTCCCAAAAACTGTATCGGTGTCCTCCGATTCTGATTTGATAGATGGCTCTCTCTTCACCTCTGGTATTAGAGGTTGCTCCATCTTCCTCCCAGAAACAGACTCCTCATCAGAGTCAGTGTCACTACTCGAAATATCGGAGCTATCGACTCTGCTCTGCGGGGTCCCCTGCAGAGCCTTGTTTCGAAGGTCCTCCAACTCCTTCTCGAGTCGGGCAATCTTGGTGTCCCTCGCCTTCAGCCTGATCCGTAGCTTATTCGTTGACTCTTTCTCGGCATTGAGCTGAGCTTGTGTCTCTGCCAACGCGCTTGATTCGGCCTGCATGATCTCGTCCTGGTCAATCTCGTCCTGGCTCTCTTGCCTCAGCCGCTTCCTCCGCTTCGCTTCCTTAGTCTCGCCTCTGCGGAGCGCCAGCAGAGCCCGTCCGATGTATTCCTTCAAGTTGGACCCGCCGACGGGCGGTTCGTCCTTGTTCTCCTCTCCCTTGTGCGCCCCCTTTCCGACGTCTTGCCGGCTGCCGAGGATGTAGCGTGAATAGACCTCCGTGGAGAGGAAGTAGGGCATGCCGATATTGGCCAGGCTATCCAACGCCTCCTTGATATGCTTGAGGTCGTGGTTGTTGACCTTGTAGGCCAATACCGGCCCTTGCTCGTTGCTGGCATCAGAGTCGACATCTTCGTGCACCACAACCGTGTCTTCGAGGCGCCGGAGGAATTCAGAGTAGGGCGGAATCGTGATCGCTCGGCTTTGGAGGCGTTCCCTAACCTCTGAGTGGTGCTCCGTCATAGGCCTATCCTGGCCCTTGAAGTCTGCAATGACCTGCTTGAAGACCTGGAAGAACACGTCGTTGTTTGGCGCGACGAGCTTCCACGTGCGGGTGTCTCGAGTGCGCAAGATGACGGCATACTGCATGGCTGTCCTGAACATGTTAATGTCGAATTTCCAGAGAGGATGCACCACCAGCTCGTACATGTACTGCGAGAAGGTTGTTGTCCACTTTTGGGACTTGTTGGCGGACTTGCCTTCGTATCCGAGGAAATACTTGGCCGAGACGATCTCGAATGGTGCCATGTGAAAAATCCGTAGCGTGGCCCGGAAGAGCTTCGGCAGCGTCGAGTCCTTGTAGTCGATGAGCTTCGTGCGCTGAGGGTTCTTTTGCCACTTGCTCTTGAGGCTGACCTCGTCTTCGGCCGTCCAGTCCTCATCGTACGCCTCGTCGGGTATAGTGTCTGGCAGCAGGTCGTCGAGCTCCTCGGCCTTGAGGCGCGGGAACCTCTGATTGAAGGCACGCAAGATCTCCTGCCCGTTGACGATGCCGAAAAACATCGTCTCGAAGTTGACCCAGGCCGGCGACTTTCCCTCACAAACACGTTCTTCATCCTGAGCTGTCTTGCCCTTTGTCTTCGTTGACGAGGTCTTCTTGGCCATAGCGCTCGTCTTAGCACTCTTGCCTTTCGAAGTCTCCTCCCTGCCCAACTCCATGTCGTCATCCTCTTCAGTATCCTCTAGGTCCTCCTGGGCTGTCCTGCCCTTTGTTGCTGGAGTCTTTCTCTTGGCCGTAGCGCTGGTCTTAGCACTTTTGCCATTGGATATACCCAGATCTATCAAGCTCTCCAGGTCGCCGTCAGTATCGACGTCGCTGTCGTCACTGGATTGCCTGTAATCACTATCGTCGCTGTAGGCGACTTGTTCGATTCGGGCCTTCTTCTTGCCGCCCTGGTGTTCTTCGGCTCGAGACGCCAATCTCTTCCTCGATTTTCTGGAAGGCATCGCCATCACTGGAATGACTGTTTCACTTTAGTTCACTGTGGCAAGGGTAAATTCCCGTCACTTACGCGGGCGACGCGGGTACTTGTGGCCGTGGGCGAGGTGTGTGTGTGTGTGTGTGCGTGTGTATGGGGAGGGTACAATTCAAATGTGAAATCGGTTAGATTAGGCAGGTTGGTCAGTTAGTGGAAAGAAAATGCTTACAACCGCCAAAAACCCTCCATTTTCGGACAGCTAAAAATCAATGCTTATGGAAAATACAAAGCTCTAATTCAATACAACGGCTTGTAGGTTAGGCAAGGCAATGCCAATTTTTAGCACTTATCCTATACGTATAGACGGCTTTGACCGCGCAGTTCATGACCCTCTAACAGATAGCTGATATCTATCTCTAAACAAAAGCTCTGGAAAAACTTTTCACTGAGCCGGTTTGATCAAGAAGGTGCAAATATACACCACTTCAGTCAGTACTAGGTACTTGCGGCTCAAACGTCCCTTGCAAAAGACGTCCATCGATTGACATCCTTCTATCTCTCAGCTTTTAGGGAAATCAAGCTATTTATACTTATTCTTTCGTCAGCAATATGAACCAGCCCTCTTAGACCTGTGCGTTTGTTTTTAAGGGATGTCGTCGAGAGCTCATGAACGAAGCGTCTTGATTGGCTCTAGCCATGTCCCAGGTGAGATTTTATGGGTCAAAGGACTTACACGGCATGCCTTAGCAGATCCCACCTCTCGAGTTTCTAAAAGTCCTCCATCTCTTCCACAGTCATCTTTTTTCAACCACGCAGTTGAATTGTTCTGCGTCTGGTGAAACACAGAATCCCACGGAGAGGGCAGAGTGGGAGAAACAAAAGGAGAAGGAGAAGCAGGCCGCCACGCCCACCAACCCAACCCCCAGCGGCCGAGATTGTCCCGCAGCCCGAGGATGAGGCGAGCACTGAGAAGCCTAAGACCAAGGAGAAGAAGATTGACTAGAAGGGAACGCCGAGACATGCGCTACCAGGAATGGTTGGAGGTCTCTCACCCCGGTGCTGCACCACCGCGGCCAAAGCCAGTTTCCATGCCGGCGCCTGCGCCTGCGCGCGCGCAAGGTCCTCACAGACATCCACCGAGTGGCCAGGACAGGCTACGACCTGACCGGCTCTCCCGAACCCAGCCGTGAGTATTTGCGTTCCAGTATCTGTTTACCATGATCTAACAACATTGTGGCTTCACAGTCTCGACAGCTCCCCACAGACCCTGCCGCATCGATATGAACCTTACCAGCAGCGCCCTCAGCAGCAGTATCAGCAGAGCACGATGTTCGTCGATGCGGACATTACCGCAGACGATAAGAATAGGAGAGAATTTTTGGAACACTGGGGGAATCGACAGAGGCTTGCTGAGAAATGGAGAGAGGCCATTCGAGGTTCACTTCGGTGGTGAAGTCAGGGAGCTCTATGGAGAAAATGCCTCCAGAGACGTCAACCGATATATCGATCCGAGGCTCTGTAACACTCGATCCATGCGCAACGAGAAGCTTTACCTTGTTGTGTACAGGCCAAGAAGAAACGAGCAGTACAGCTTGAACGTCGAGGGTCTGCCTAAAGCATACTTTGAGGCTTGGGTCGGTCTGCGGACCTTTCGCACCACGCTCTCCATGGAACTTAATCCTTCATTGGGCGATCACTTTAAGAACTACTACGGCACACTTGTGACTGAGCTAGTCCGAGTGGGTCTTGAGCTTGAGGGAGAGATCGCAGCAGAGGTCCACGAAGCATCTGAGAAGAATGAGAACAAGCGCCAGCTGGAGGCTTTAGCCTCTCCATTGCGCTTTGCAAAAAGAACAGAGAGAAAATTCCAGTAGGCCAGGATGAAGAGCTACAGGCCCCTGTCGATACCGAAAGCGAGAGCTTGGCGGATCTAGGAACACCGAATGATCTTAAGGGAACGGACAGCCTAGAGGAGGGATTGACAGTTATAATACCGAGACTCGGAAAAAGCTTTAAAATCCAGGGCCGCCCGAGAAAAGAACCCATAGATTGCTCTAATCACCCTAATGAAAAAAATGAAATCCTGTCGGATGCTGCTGCTGTTGTCTCTAATATCGTTGGCGTCTCTGCAGTCATCATTATCTCCTAAAACATGACTCCGAATTTGTTCCAGCATGCAGGACCTGTAGGCACATAAAAACAGGCAAGATATGAAATATCCTCTAAGAAAAACAAAAGTCTTTGACTCTCCTATTCTCTTTTAAAGTCCGCGCTGGACCTGCGGTTGACGTGTCGCTGCGAGCTCCATGATTGAATCCGTTTGATTGGCTGTGGCTTCGATCTGAATCGCATCTGTGGGTCGTCGATCTTTTATGGGTCGAGGGACTGGTGCTGCCTGGTAGACGACTCTTGCGAAATTTCTCAAAATGCAAACTTCATCTTCACGACCAGCTCTTGTATGAGCCCGGCTTAAGAAGAACTCATGCCGAGATGGCGGAGTTGGAGAGACGCAAGGCCAACCGGGAACAATTCGCGCCTGTGCCTCCTCACCCGCATGCGGCAGATACTGATCCGCGAACTTACTCATGGGAGCATATTGACCTCAGCGAAATCAAGGCCTTGCCTGTTCTGAGGTCAATTTTCAACGACTTGACCCTGAAGAGGCCTAATCTGAAGGACGCCTCGATTTTCAAGGCTAAATTTGATAGCTGCCTGCAAGACACGTTCGATCTCCTCCACGGCGCCAAGATATACACGACCGGCACTTCATACCTCGTGTATATAACACTCAAGATAATATGGGTTCGAGAGAGTAAGTGCAGTCCGGACGTTGACTGTTCCGCCCTCTAATCATGCTGATAGCTGGCGGAAACTGGGCGGCCATGGGCTGGAGGACTCCGATAAACTACCTCTTCCTGCTCGACCTGCGCTACCAGACGTACCTAGAAGCTTTCCACCCCGAGGATGCGCCAAGTCGACAAGAGGCTGGATTCTTCGCCCAGGGTGCAGAGCCAGACATTGCTGCAGACCAGGAGTCTCGATTAGACATCTGGGACGCCCAGGGACTCAGCAGGGACCTCCTAGCTTTTGGCGAGAAGCCATTCGAGGTTTTCTTCCCCAACGGCAACATCCCGCAGTTCTTTGCAAAGGATGCCCTGAAGGGCGCCAACCTCTACGTCGACCCGAGGCTCGCCATAGGCCGGAACGTGCGCAACAACAATAAGCTGTACCTGGTTGTCTACAGATTGACAAGGAATGGACTTTCCAGCCCGAACGACAAAGCTCTCTTCCACGCATACGCTGAGGCCTGGGGTTGTCTACGAGCGTACCGTACCAAGATCGATGGTGGTATTTTCCACTCGCTGGGCGACCACTTCAGAGACTACTATGGCCAGCTGGAAGTGGACGTGACGATAATGGAGCTGGATGACCTGTGCGAGTCAAACATGGAGCCCTCGATTGCTGAACCTGTCAACACAAACGGCAAGAAAAGGCAGCAGCTGCATGAAACGAGCAACTGCGGTGATGATGACATGGACTGGCCGATGCAGGTCGACGGCGAGTGGATGGGGGAGCAGGGGGAGCCCAAGAAGCGCAAGGGCGTGAACGGCCTGGCTCACGCTCCGTAGGTTGATCGTTCCCATACTGCCACGCTGCGCCATCTTGATCTTCCGTGCTCTCTTATTTGTGATGTAGAAGATACGGAGGCTCCAAAGGCCTCGGCAATGCCCTGCGTCTGTGCTTCGAAGCATGGCTGATCTGGAGACAGGGGCTAGTTTCCCAGCCTCAGAGTTGTGCTGCTAACCTAGTCAAACAACAATTGGAGCCTGGACATTTATGATCGATATTTCTGCCGAAACCATGTTAGGGACTAGACCCAAGCACTGCGTCAATCCAAACCCGAAGACTCAATTGCATAAACCTGCTTCATGGGCCGAGCTAGAAAGAAGATATTCGCCATGTGAACCGGTGGATTCTCGATTTTGGCGAAAGGGCCGCAATACAGGAGTCGCAGAGAAGAGAACATTCGCTTCATTTCCTCACAAATGGCCAAGTCGCCGATGACGAAGTTTAAACACCAGCTATCGAAGCAACCTGATGTCCATGGCACGTCGTCGGTCGACTTACACGGCTCCCCCGGCCAGTTCATCAAACCTAAGCGAGCGTGGTACCTGGTTGCTATGACGACTCGGGTGGATGAAACGACATCATGTTAATCAGGAAACCGGGAGAAGAGCCGGGAGAAGCGCAGAGACGTGGAGAGAGACGAAGAATCGACCAAGCCCCGGGGGGGTTCGCCATGCCATGCCATGCCCTTGCCCACCGTTGTGGCCCCTCGACTTCGTGGCAGCCAGCATTCGACAAGCCCTGACGTGGACTCACAGACGTGTGCGGAAGTGGATGTTCAGGTCGAGAGTTTTCCCAGGTTGGGCGCGCGAGGTGACGTTGGATAAAACGACGGGTACGTATCAAGCGAGCAGGGAAGGGGCCCCACCAGCGGCACCGGCGCACTGTGTCGGGTCATACGGTCTGAGATTTGACGAGCCAATGGGACGGGGTCATCGTGCACGGTTGCTTCTGATTGGGCAATGGGAGCTGCACGCAATCTAAAAAAGTCGCGACCGAACGCGCTAGAACGCGCCTGCTTCGCGCGACAGAGCCGCGTCGCGACGACCGCATCGCAACTTTGGTGGTTTTGACGACCACCCACCTCCTTCGATGAGTTGTTCGCACGCCTTCTCTCGTGTTTCCGAGGCGACCTGGCGGCAATCGCGGGTGACGCTCTAAATCCTGATGCCCTCGATGTCGTCCTGTTGCGAGTTTTGCCGCTCAAGTGGTGATTTTCGCGATTCGCATTTTGCCGCCGTCGACCTGACCTCGATGCGGCGTTTCTGAATATCGATGTCCGTTAGACAAAGAGATCCTATTTCTGAAATTCGAAAAGAGTGCTCGATGCCCAAACCCTCTCCACAAGCCCCGTTGCCCTCATGGCGCGGGGCTGAGCGATCGAATACCCACGTTTCTGATGCAAGCCATTAAGCAGCCCCTCTTCGCAGGCCTGTCTGCACTGCGGAGCACCCATTGTTCTGATACGATATCGGCTTTGTCACTTTGAGTGCCACCGCTGTTCTGCAGACCACCTTGACGGTCGCCCGGGATGTGTCATGAGGGCCCTTAGATTAGAACACCTTGGGCGGACGTTTCGGGAGCAGTCAACCGACTTGAGGGTCAGGAGCACCTCGAGTCATGCGTCATCGTCATTCGAGAGGGAGGGTCGAGGTCATGGGTGACATTACACAGCCAGGCACACAGGAAACAAGCTTCAAAGGGAATGCGATAGCGTTTCAATACACCCAAGAAGGGGGAGGGAGGGCTATGATGTCGTCGGCGGTTGATCGGAATATCTCTAGACGGCCAAAGGATTCGCTAAGCCGACCACCTGGGTCGCCCATCAGGAACCAATAAAGCAGGCAATCAAGGGCAGGCAGCTGGCCTGATGCCGTTCGGCCAGATCCCTTTGTGCAGTTTGGAGCGTCTTGGGTGTGGAGACGGGGCTTCTGAAGGGGAGCACTGTGAAGTCTAAATGGATGTGGTGGTGGTGGCACCGCATGAGGAGCACGTTTTCCCTTCGTGGCCTGGCTTTCGAGGAGGGTTGGTCGCATGAATGAGACGCTCTTGTTTGTCTGTAGTCGTGCTCTTTCAACGTCTGCAAAGCCTTTTGGCACAGTGAGACTGGGAGGGAGATTGATGGACAATAAGCAATTTACGGGCCCGACTGAAAGGTGTATTGTCAGAAACAATGGTTGCTGAGTGTGGCAACCTGACTCAACGAGGCCGTCTAATGGTGTCGTCTGTGTGTCCTGTGTAGGAGGTGACAGGAGGGAGGATCGAGCCGTACCTCTAGCACCAAAGTCTGAGCGGAGGATGAATAGACTGCGTCTGCGTCTGCTTCGAGGCGTCTGCACCACGATAGCGATAGAGCAAGAAAGCTGGGGAGATACAGGGTGAAGATTATGTCCGTCTGTCTTACATGACTTGCAGCTCTTTTCGGCCGGAGTTGAGGGAGATGGGATTATAGGCGATAGTTCAAAGGTGTAATTGGAAAGGGCGCGCGAGATGAAGGAGAGACAAGAAAGATGAGGCCCGTTCAAGAGAGCCGCCTTGCATAAACGGGAGGAGAGACAGAGAAAGAGAGGCGGAAGAAGCAGGGAGGCGCTGCGAGAGGGCACGGCCGTGGGCAGACGAACGAAGGGGTGGTGTTGGTCTCTAGCAATGGCGAGACGACCCTTGCAGACGGAGGACAGGATGCAGGCCCGACGAGAAGGGGACTACTGCAGGACGGTGGTGAGGGCGACGAGGGCGAGAAGGCGAAGAAGCAAACACGGCGTCCCAGGCTCGAGAAGGGGATTGAGACACCATCGAGACAGTGTGCGAGAGGTCGACGCTGCGTACCTGTTCGCGCGGTGCTGCCAGCCATCCCACCGTCTGGTGTACCTGGGGCATACCCCCTCTTGCTATCGTCTATCGATATGGATACTGCGGGCTGTTTCGGAGACTCCCATGATCATCCACTCCTCGTCAGGTACCGATTCCATGCACTTTGCAGAGGAGAGCAAACAGCCAGAAAGAACTGGCGGAAGGGTCGGTGCAAAGCTCGGACCCTCCCCTCCCACGCCCATTAAAATCCCTGGCAAAAAGATACGTACCGCGGGCTCCAGACAGTGAAAGTGGTCGCGTCCCGGCGGTATTTCCTTGAATTCTGGGCACTGTGAACCCACCTGAGGTGCAGGATGCAGTTTGCGCCAGCCAGTGGACGGACCCTGTCAGGTGGCCCACCGTCCAGCACCCAAAGATGCCCAGTCCAGAGTCCACCGCCCACCGCACACACCATTTTCCCATCCATATTAGTCTGCCCCCCCATAATCCTCCGCCGTCCCATCTGCCACCTGCCACTCTGCCGCTATCTAGGTCCGTCCCAGCCAACCTTCCCTTCTTCACCCACCGCCTCCCTCCCGAAACTCTCACACCGACACACACACACAACTACTACTGCTCGCCCGCATTCCCAAGAATCCCTTCGAACCGCTAGCAAACAAATACCTCCAACACCCTCACCATCTTCTACAAGCCCTCGATCCAATACTCCCGCCCTTGATATCATCGCGACCTCCCGGCGCATTCCATTCCTCGCTCGCCCTTCCTCCGTCGCAAAGTCGCGCACCAGAGCCAACCAGCCCTGTCGCAAACCCTCACCGACCTCCAACGCCCACAAACCAGAGAATCGCAACCAAGCGCGCATACCACCGCCAAGATGCTCATGCCATCCGCCCTCTCCTGCGACACGTCGCAGCCGCCCCTCACCCGCCTTCAAGCCGCAATGTTCGCCTCGCCTCCCGCCAGCCCTCCGTCGCTCTCTCACCAGGGCCCCTTTGGCAACATCTTCGACACCTGCCGCTCCCTCCAGGCCCTCCTCTCCACCCCTCAGCACCACCAGAACCACACCGTGACGCAGCAGCCATCGCCGCCGTCGCACCACCAGCTCCCGACTCCTCCCCTCGCCCACGCGCCGCCGCCTCTGAAGCTTCGTCTGCGCTCTCGCGCGAAGCCCGCGGCCGATGGCATCAACAGCGAGCACCTCCCGCGCAAGCGCATCGCCAAGCGCGTGCCGCCCCGCGGGGTCAACAAGCGCCGCCGCTCGTCCGATGACGACATGGGCCGCGAGGACGCCTTCATGACCGACTCCGACGTCGACAGCGATCTCGAGATCTCGTCGCAACAAGAACAGCTCCCGTCCGCGCCGTCAACGCCCAAGCGCGCACGCATTGCGCCAGAGGTCGTGCCCCTCGGCCTCGAGCGCTCCGACTTTCACACACTACACCTCCTCAACGGCGAAGAGCCCACATCAGAAGGATCAAACGTCGAGGTCGAGGCCGACGGCGAGCCGTGGAGCGCAGAGGACGACAGGATACTGGTGGAGCTTGTGCTTGAGAAGCTCAAGCTCAGCAAGTCAGAGTGGCAGGACTGCGCGCGCAGTCTAGGAAAGGACCGCAACTGCCTATCGCGGAGGTGGAAGAGCCTGATGGTCCAGGGCGAGGTCGGCCTCAAGGGCCGCAGGAGTAGCCGACGAACCAAGCTCCACGGCACCTGGCGATGAGTCTCATAGCCGTCCATTCGTTTCTTGATTTCATTTGTCTCAGCATATTATTGGGTCAACTGTACCATATCGCATCTGGCAGACTAGAGAACCAGAATCTTGGGTAGCCCCGCATGTGGCTGGCATCTTTGCAACGGGCGCGCGTGTTTGATCTCGGGCTACGACTAGCTCTAGAGTTGTTTCTTTGTTTGCGCGACGTTTCCAACGTCTACTAGGCCAGAAGCTTGAAAGAGCAAATACATCACCGTACAAACATTACTGATTGTGATCTTTACATGTTGCCTCTGACGCACTTTACAGCCTGAATCTCGTCTTAAACATGCATCGCCGTCCAAACACACATATGCGACGCTTGCGCAGGCAAACGGCTGTACGTGCGGCGCAACCTGTGCGGTCTCTACGAATTGACTTTCGCAGCTGTCAACGACGCCGTAGCGCGCCCGGCCGCTTGGACTGTCATCGGACGACGGCCCA